CAGTTTACTTACCTCTTCTCAGTGTCACGCAGCTCCCTATTCCCTCTCTTCACAGCATCCACCATAGTGTGGCTGCAAGTGGGCCACAGAGCCAGGGCCCAGAGACCTCCCCCCAGCTCTAGCACCAGCTGTTTAGCAGGGAAGTCCACGGCTCCCTTAGGCTCCAGAACAGCCTCCCAGCCATACCCAAATCCTAAGGATCCTCTCTCTGAACCTCTCACCTCCTATTCCTGGTGCCATTACACCTCCTGTGTCTTCAGACTGCCCAACCCTGGTGAGAAGGTTATCACTTCTACTCATCCCTGAGGCAGCAGAAAGTGAGAGGGAAAAGGAGGTGGAGTGGGAAGAAGCAGGCTTGGGAGAACGTGAGGCCTGAATCAGCGAGGGGGACTGGGCAGCCTCAAGACAGGCTCCTTTATCCCAGGCCACATGCAGTGGCTCAGGGCCTAGTACTAGGTTTCTTGTCTCTTGTCTCTATATTAGGCCAACCCCAAAGCCCCCTTAAACTAAAAGGAGTGTCCCTTTCATTAAGACACAAATTCATAGAAAACTTCTCCCTCCCATTTACCTAATAGTTTCACATCCACAATATAACCCTGTAAAGAATTATACAATTGCAATTATATTACAATTTTTCTTTTCTTTTTTTTTTTTTTTTTAAAGATGACTGGTAAGGGGATCTTAACCCTTGACTTAGTGTTGTCAGCACCACGCTCGCCCAGTGAGCGAACCGGCCATCCCTATATGGGATCCGAACCCGGGACCTTGGTGCTATCACCACTGCACTCTCCCGAGTGAGCCACAGGCCGGCCCTAGACTGGTAATTTTTAAACAATAGAAATTTATTGTTCAAATTTCTGGAGGCTTTGAAGTCCAGTATCAAGGTACTATCAGATTCATTGTCTGCTGAGAGCTCTCTGCTTTATAGATGGTGCCTTCTTGCTGTGTCCTTACATGGTGAAAGGGGTAAACCAGCTCCCTTGGACCTTTTATACAATCCCATTTGTTTTTTTTTTTCCTTTTTGTCTTTTTTTACTGACCGGTAACGGGATCGCAACCCTCGGCGTCACGCCCGCACCGGGGACCGGCAACGGGATCACAACCCTCGGTGTCGCGCCTGCACTGCGCTCAGCCAGTGAGCGGGAACCACAATTTTTCTGATGAAGAATTTGGATCTCAGAGTTTGGTTTCCAAGTTGGTATTCACACAGGGACCATTAGCCAGCCTATTTTAGCCCTCCTGCCTGGGGCCCCCCACCCCTCCTACTCCCTTCCCCTGGGGGCACCACTCCTGGGGTAGAGATATTTACCACAGCTTCCTGAATAATAATCTAGAAGAGTGTTGTGCGACAGAACTTTGTGCAATGGGAATGTTCTGTATCTGCTCTGTCCAGTTCGTTAGTCCTTAGCTTCATGTGGCTATTGAGCCCTTAGCATATGGTGATAATGAGGAACTGAATTTTAAATTTCATGTAATTAATTTAGATTTAACTTAAATAACAACATGCAGCTAGTGGCTACTGTATTGGACAGTGCCGTTCTAGAATCTTCAAAGCTCAAAAACCATGAGGGTCTGGGCAATCGCTCTTCACTCCCAGGCCAGCCACCTCCCCCCGTCTCCCGCCTCCCACGAGCCACAGTCCTAGGTGCCACCAGACCTGCAGGAGTTTGGAGGATTTCCTCGGAGGTAGTCCGGCCTGCACCAGGGAGATGACCATGCGGACGGCACCTGCGGAGGCCGATGTCCTCCCTTCCCTCCTCTTGCCCTCAGCCACCAGGGGCCGCTGCGTCCTGGCCGTGCCGGGCCGAGCGCCCCGAGCTGTCCCGAAGGAGGCGGCGGCGCCCGCGCGGGGCTGGAGAAGCGGGGGCGGCCCCGGGCGATCAGGAGGCGGCGGCGGTGGCGCACTCCCCGGCCTGCCGGCGGAAGCCTCGGTAGAAACCCGCCTGAGCTCTACAAGAGCTGGCGGGGTCGGGCCCTGAGCTCCCCCGGGCCC